AATGGATCTTTCAGTTTTAGTTTAGTTTTATCAGTGTTTCGAGAGATTGAATCATAAAATTTCAGCGTAAAAGTTTTAATGTTAACAGATTGCAGGCTGTCCCTGGTTTGCTTGAATGTCTGACCAGGTACCGTTCGCTGTCCTATTCTACTTAAACGTCTACTCGAATCGAATTCATTTCACATTGGTTGGTGCGATACAAAAAATAATTAAATTATTACAAACGAGTAGCCAAAGATCAATAAATCGTGCGCTTTCACGCAACTCTGACTACCGATTCTCGTCCCCCCAAAAAATTGTACTCCACGTTCTCGATTTGGTTATGACCGCGGTATCGCTCAGTTCGGTTATGGCAGCGGACACGGGCCACCTTCTACGACACCCGATCCATATTTCAAGCAGAAAACCTCAACGCGCCGAGTAGAAGTGCACGCGAACACGGAACTGTCCACAAAGTACGGCTCAATAATTCAAAGCATAGGAGCATACCCCTTTTAAATATGAAACACGCCGTCAGCGGGGCTCGCTTCCGTTTCCCGTTTAAAGGAGCCAGCGAAACGTGTTAAGAGTTAAATTCCCCCGTAGCGCGAAAATCCTAGATTTAACCAGCATCAGCGGCCTTAACACGGATTATCCGTACGGCGTATCTATTATACCGTACCGGTCCCGCGACGATAAACGATGCTGATAATGGCGGAAGCTTGTCCCGGCGTTGATATTTATAATGCCGCCCCGACGCCGGCACGCCAGCTGTCTCTGCAAATCCTGAGAAGCATTCGCTACACCCGCACCTGCACGTAACGCGTACACCTGGACGGGAATCACGTACACATCGGCAACGTGACACGTATACTTACACGTACACCTGTATTTCGGGGGCTTTTTCTCTCCCCCAGACGAGCGTCTGGGGAAACATGTTGTCAAATATTCTGGAAGTGCCCCCCGAGGCCTGTTCCTCCGCGTCTTTGGATTCATCTCTCGACCGCTCGTTTCCTTCCGTCCCCGAAGAACATTCGGCTACGACGACGCCGACAGGCCTTTTCGTTCCGACGAGACGCCACGCACGGCCATCCACGGGATATTTCAAATTTCACGTCTCAGACGTGAGCCACGGTCGCAATAGTAAATTACGGTCCTGACTCTGCGCGACGAATAATATCGTACGACTGACTTTGCGCGAAAATATGGACCAAGAAGAAGAAGTCGAGACATACGTGTCGCCTGGTATAGGACGGATGTATATACACGTTTGGACAAAAATTTATATTGCTTAGAATTGTACGTGGAAGGTCTTCCAAAAAGAGTTTCAAGATTCTCTCCATTCACTTTGTAAAGTACGAATTGAAACTCATTGGTGTTTGCATTTGTTCTTTACGTTCGTATACATTCCGTAGAGAGCACAGAAATGCTCGGTTCGAAGTAAAAGTTTGCTTAACACTTTTCATGCTCGAATAATTGAAACTGTTCGGTGTTTCCTTTAGAGGATTCCCCGATCGAGTATTAATCGCGAAGCAGTCAGGGAATAGTGCGGTTTTCAATTAGCTCGGAAGAACGGAGCTGAAACAAGCGTGGATCGCGAAATAACCGGGATCTCCGACATATTTGCTAATCTGCATCTGGTGGTGCTGGTACTCTGGTTAAAGGGCTAAGCAACTTTTAGCGTGGCCGTGGAGACGCAAACGTGGGACACGGTCTAAAGCGAGATTAGCCAACTTCCTGGGCGGATAGCACCAACGGAGTCGTACGCTAGATATCAGAACTGAGCCATTTTGTTCTACGCTGCAACGTATCGGTCGTGTAAGCTGCCGTGCCCCCCGTACACCCGTTATACCAACTTCCAAAGTGACTTACCCAAATTTACATTTACGTCGTCGTGAACACCGCCGGAAAATCGTACCGTCCTTATCTGCTTCAGCTTGCCAGCGAACGGAATCGCGATATTCACGGACGATTCCTGTCAAACGATGCGCAGCTGCGACTAACGCGTATTACTCTGCATTTCGATACTTTTCCCGAACTCTCGTGTTCAGCTCTGTGGCTCTGTGCAGCGAATATGGCAAATCTTATCATATGGTGAAAAATAATTAGATTCCATTTCTTTTATTATTATTAACCTTTAGTGCTCCATTAGGTCCTCTTTGACACCATGTACATCAATCTGTGCCATAGCTCCTGGAGCGTTTGACTGGTCGTGGTAGGTTTAGTGTTAAGTACAGTCGAGAAGTTTTGCTGATAGGAACGAATTATCCGCTTGTTCGTGTGATGTAAAAGGGTTAAAATTGAAAGTGCTTGGAAACACCTTTTAATCTTTTGAATAGCCCAACCCCAATGATATCACCATCGTCCAAACAATTCTCCCAAATCTGCCCCGGTGGCCTCGGTAGTTCACAATTCGAGAAGCTCGCGAATTATTCGCGAAGATACGAAAGATTCAGATTTGACACGGGTCCGTGCACCGTCTAGATTGGTTCTGTCTCTGTACGTTCGGCGAACGCTTGCATCGAATTCTAAAATACGCGACAGCATCGGAGCCAGACATTGATTCCAGACGTCCCGTCCACCTTACCTCGATCAATTTGGAGATTGGCGGCCATTGGAATTGGAAATGAAATTTGGTAGACGCGCACACGAACGGGGACCAGCAGGCGCTAACATGTTACGCCGTTGAACCGGGAGAAATGTATTGTGCGCCGACGGGACAATCGATTCTACGAGCACCGATTTATGTTTACGGTCGCTGAGGATACCTATAGACACCGGGGATTCTCTCTCTATGGCGTGCATAAAAACAGGCACGATTCTATTCAACGGGACGCTGAAATAAATGCAACACGAAACAGCTGAAAGGCGGGAAGAAGATTTAAAACGAATGCATCGGAGCCAAAGTAAGAGGGCCTGCGAGTACGATAAAAAGAGATTGATCGTTCGAAATACGTCAGAAGTTATTTCCTAATCGATTCTCCCATACAAAAGAATATTCCGATATCCTTTCGAGGGTTCAATTCACGACAAGAATCCATTCTGGTCAATAATATCGAACCCCTTTCTCTTCCAAAGATTCAAAGACTGTCTCTCCGCCTCGCCATGCGATCGATGCTTCAAATCAGAAACTGAGTCAACTCGCTCGCAAATTGATCAACTCCGCTTTTTGAATTTTGTTAAACGTTGACGTTTCGAAATATATCCTCTATGTATGGATATCACAATTTTCATTTCCATTTGTGGTACGATTATTTTCTTCGTTCATGCGAAAATCGTATTAATAACAATTCTATATCAAGGCTTCCGATGATAAGTTCAACGACGACTCTTCTGTTCCATTAAATGTCCTGAACATTGCTGGAAAATAATTTCGTTCTCCGGGAACGGCACAATCTCCTGCTCCCTCAATGATTCGAAGAGCCGGAAGAAGGAACGATAACAGGTAAACAGAACAAGTACTCCGGAAGATCTTAAAACTGGAACAACCTGCCGTTGAGATGTACTGAAGTTTAATCAGAATAAAGCGCTGTAGCGGAGAGTCGTCAAGTTCTGGAATTTTCGTCGTGATTTATCTTCAGGGCAATAAAAAGCCTCGCTACGGCCCCCATCCGAGTCGAGTATATGATGCATAGTGTTAATAACGTCCGTTCTCTCCTTCATACTTTCGTGTGCGACACACTGCCGTCCGCCAACTGTGTCGCAGTTTTTCCTTGTTCCTGTACCGCTACTGTTTTCCATCTTCCTCGTCCCGCGTGTCTTCTTTCGTTCATTTCCCTCGGCCTTTCTCTACCTCGTTCTTCAACCCTTTGTGCCAGTGGTTCTCAAACTAGGCGACGCGAGCAGCCGTGACACTTGCGCGTGGTTTCGAGTAGGTCTCGCGTACGAAACCTTTGTGCATTCTTAATGTTAAGCTCGGGGACATCGGACTGGAATTGTTACGAAAGCGTACGCGGCTGCATTAGGTAATTCATGCAGAGCGTCAGACTGTGACGGCGGATGTCAGACTGTGACGGCGGCTGTCAGACCGTGACGCTGACCGTCAGACCGTGACAGTGATCATTGGACTGTGATGGTGTTTATTAGATCGTGACGGTGGTCACTGGAGCGTCATCATGATGAATATAATACAATACAATGCAATGCAATGCAATGCAATGCAATGCAAGTGCAAATGCAACACAATACAATAGCGTCACTCTGTGATGATCAAGCTGATTCTCATTGGATTTGATCTATTAATAATAATATAAGTAAACTAGTGTTACAGATGAATTTAACAAAAATTTAACAAACTGTTATGTTAAAATTTACATGTTTGCAGTTAATTAAACAATGTATAATCTAAGCTAAATACTACTATATAAATTAAAGAGTACTTGTATAATAGAACTATTACGATATATATTCGTATGAGACGTATTCAAATCTTCTATTCATCGAAATGTGCAGTAAACAGTATTTATTTTAGTTTATTTAAAAAATGTTTACTGTTATTCCTACTATTATCGATTTTAGTACCAGTAGCGCCATCCGCGGGAAGACGCCCAAGTTTGTCGTAAAAATAGTTTCCGCTTTTCCTCTGAAAGATGGCACCACCAGCTCACAGGTTGTTGTATTAAATAACTATTCATAAAAATGATAAATTTGGCATATTAACGCATGCTCTTATCATTTTATTATGTTATACATTCATTATTTTATTCAAATTCAAGCTACTTTTATGGAAAATAAGTTTACGTTACGTTTATTGCAGATAGTAATTATAGGTTTGCAGCTAAACTGACCAGGATACATATATAAAAACAGATGTTTAAATAATACATTAAAAACATATATTGTGGTGTTATGAAGTAGAAACTTGTATTAATTATAAATTTATGAAAAATAAAGAATAATTTATTAAATGTATCCGTGGCGTCATCTTTCAAAAACGGTGGAAACTATTTTCTCTACAAACTTGAGCGTTTTCCCACCGATGGCGCCTCTGGTATAAAAAAATCGCACACACAGAGCCGCTTGCTGTCAGTGTGCACAGTTCCTTCTTGGATGCATCAGTTGTGATACATAGGTTGATATAAATGAAAAACGTTTTTATAACGTCGAGGTTAAGATAGACAGAAATATGCCGCAAGGAACAAGAAAAAAACCATTTAGCGGTAAAGCAAAGAGACAACAATTGCAAATTAAAAAACAACGACAAAATCCAACTTTGTCTAGTACGTATAATGTACCTATAAATGAAGAATTTCATACATTAATGATTTGGAGTAATTGATATCACATTGTAATCTACAGCTGCAAGTCACAGTAGAGACAGTGGAGAAAGTTCAAATGATATTGATGATTTTGCGTACGGTGTACAAAAGATTAATAAGCAACCGAAAGATGGGAATTCTTCCAAAAATAGGTATGCTTTACAATTCTTCCAAGAAACTAAGGAAGAATTGATGAAACGAAGAGAAGATGCTAATAGAACTATCCAATGTTTATCATACGAAGAACTAGAAGTTTCTGATGATTACTTCCCATCAGAAATTGACATGCCCAAAAGACCACCTTGGGATTTCAATATGACAAAACAACAGTTGGAACTAAGAGAACAAAAGTACTTTACAGTAAGCAATTGAAATTTTCAATTACATTTATATTGGTAAAACTTTAGAACTGGCTAATAATTTGTTGCATTTAGGAATATCTCAAAGAAATGAGAAAAGTAGACAACATCAGCTATTTTGAATTGAATTTAGAAACTTGGAGACAGTTATGGAGAGTTCTTGAAATGTCTGATATTTTATTATTTATTATTGACATCAGATATACTGTCCTAATGTTTCCCCCATATTTGTACCATCATATAACAAAAGAGTTAAACAAAGACATGATTTTAATATTGAACAAAGTTGATTTAGCTCCTCCAGCTCTAGTAGTAGCATGGAAAGAATATTTCCATGAGATGTACCCTAAATTACACATTCTACTGTTCACTTCGTATCCTACTTACAATTTACATGGTAATACATCAGAAACAGAAGGACTAAAAATGAGTCGTAGAAAGGGAAAATTAATAATGGCTGCAGAAGGAGCTCAAAAATTACTAGATACTTGTAATGAAATTGTTGGAGATCAAGTAGATTTAACTTCTTGGCATAAAAAAATTCAAGATGAATTGCAAATGGAATTTAGTTTAGATGAAATTGATCATAAAGACAGTGTTACTATTACTAAAGAAGATACAAGTTATTTTAAGCATGAACAATATAAAAATGGAGTCTTGACTATCGGTTGTATTGGATGTCCAAATGTTGGAAAATCCTCGTTGATGAACGCGTTAATGGGTGAATATTAATGGTTTAATATGTTTGAAGTTTAGAGACGACGCTGTCGAAATATTCCAATGTGAAATTTTTATACGCATTCTAGGAAAGAAAGTTGTGAGCGTATCGCGCACACCTGGACATACTAAACATTTTCAAACTATTTTCCTTACGAAAAATGTTTGTCTCTGCGATTGTCCGGGATTAGTATTTCCATCGATAGTACCGAAGGAACTACAAATTTTAATGGGTTCCTTCCCAATAGCTCAAGTTAGGGAGCCTTATTCGACAATTAAATTCCTTGCGGAAAGAGTAAATCTACCGAAAATATTAAACCTTCAGCATTCGGGTAGGGAAGATACATGGTCCGCGATGGACATTTGCGAGCATTGGGCTATTAAACGAAACTTCGTAACTGCACGGGTTGGTAGACCTGATACATACAGAGCTGCTAATGCATTGTTGAGAATGGCGCTCGAAGGAAAAATTTGTATGTATGTGTATCCGCCAAATTGGGGTGTCAGCAAAGGTAATATTCTTAGATTAGAGGTTTCTTAGGTTAGAGGTTATCTGTTTGCATTTCGTAATAAATACAAACTTACAGAAAACTGGGAGGACCATCCTGAAGTTGAATTCGTGAGGTGGATTCAAGCTAGAAATAAAGCAGAAGATGTTAACGAGGGTAGAAGAGTGTCCGTGTCTTCAGAAGAAGAAGATACAGACGAACATTCGGAAATAGATTCAAACGAAGAATCCGACGATTCCAATAATACTTCGGACGATGAATCGAAGATACGCGTGGTTAATAAATTCGAAATATTGTCCGCTGATCTATGAAAAATGAACCCTTTATTGATTACATTTTCATATTTTTATTAATTCCTAATTACATATTATTTACATTAAGCTATCTATTTACAACGATGTAGGTTACAATATTCGTAATGAATTGTCCCCATGAAAATTTTATATATTACACATATTGTTCTGCATCTAATGGCTCTTAATCATGTGTTCTACTACTATTTATGTACACCTCACCCCACTTTTCCTACCATATCGTTGGTCCACTATACAGTAATAATTTAATAAGAACGCTGTAGTTGTCTAAAGCTGAAACTGTTTTTTCCTTTTCCTATTAAAAATAGCTTAGAAAATGATAACATATTCCAGCCATGTAAGGTAGTCGCTAAATGTAATTTTTAAGGCCTATGGAATTTGTACGACGGGGCGTAGCGCGAAACGAGTAGATATTAGATATCCAAAAAAATAATTTATTTTTATTATTCCGTATAATTCATTATGTCTACATCACGCGTATACTGTATTATACTTACAACGTACGGTAACGAAGTAATTCTTGATATGAATTCAATAATATCAAACAAGAAAATTATTTTTCAAATATTGGACATTATATGCAAGAATAAACAACAACGCGAATACATTCAATTCTCCCCTACTATCAAAATATCGTCCTTTATATTCCAAATGATACAGCTACGTTCGACTAAAGCATACAAATCGGTACGCCTAAGCTCCTAACAATTTTTTAACAGAATAACCCGGTATAGCGTAAAAGAACAACAACAGAAGTACCACTATACCGATGGTTATGATAGCTTTCAAAATAGCCCATTTGTAGTTGTGCCACACGATGTATTTAATCGATTTCAAGGGGTTTAAGAACCACATGAAAGATGCGTCGGGCCGACTGAAACAAAATACTAGTTACGAACAAGAAAAATGTGTGGGACATTTTTTAGAATAAGTAGATGTTCATTTATCAATTGAAATTTAATATTCAACTTATCATATTTACGATTATTCATTTCTGAAAATAACTTTGAGTTGTATATTACGTAACTTTCCAGAAAATTATATATGTACAATGTAATTGTAATTTATGACAATTAATAAACATATTATATAATTTGCATATTTCACTTTGTTACTTACTTTGGTTTATCGAGCGGATCGGGTTCGTTTCTGCCGAATCCAGCTGGATTTTTCTCAGCTTCCTCTTTGGATAGCAAATGAATCTCAGCCTCGACTTTTCCCTATCGAAAATTTGCAACGCGAAGTAGATTCACATTTTCGTAAACCGCAGTAACGCTTCTATATAAATTTGAATATGAAGAAAGAAATTTACCGTTAATTCCATGTCTTCGTTTTCTTTTTTCACATAGAAGGGCCACCAGCCTTTTATCCGTTTCTGTTTGAAAATGTTTACCATTGGCACGGATCCGTCGGTCTTCAACATACTCAACGTGCAAAGTTTACTATTTTTCGCACCACGTGGAAACCGATTTAAATCGAGGGTAATAGCACCTAGAAAATCATCGGCGGAAAAATGATCCGCGTCCCAAACCTGTGAAAAACATCGCAAAAGTAGACAAAATTCGAACGAAACTAAAAAAGAAAAGTGGTTTCTTTTAGTAAGGGGATGTTCTGGTTCAAACGATTGAACTGTAGCCGATTTTCTGGAATTTTTTTCGTTGAAATGATAAAGAATATTGAAGCAAGACTTTCCCATAACGATAAAGTAATAGTAAAACTACTTATTTATACTGTTTTCATAGTTACTCGATAAAGTATTTTGACGTGTATGTATTATTTTAGATTACTGCACAGTTTTAAGTTGTATCAAAAATGCTTAAACTGATGATTTTTTGAGAGAAGATGATTTTTGTGAGCGAATGACAATGCAGAATACTTAAAATTTTTGAAATTTAAAAAATTTTTATTTATCTAATTGGCCATCTAGCGGTGAATAAATCGAACTAAAATTCCGACCTCCGATCAGCGCACCACCGGGAAAACGCCCAAGTTTGTCCTCGATTAATTCCTTTTTCCAACGCTAGATGGCGCTAGTTACGTTGTTTTTTACCGACCTGTCGGTACATTATCGTCAAATGTCGGTGCATTACCATCATGTCGGTAAAAAAACCGCGGAAGTGGCGCCATCTAGCTGTAAGAAAAGGAATTATCGAGGACAAACTTGAGCGTTTCTCCGATAGAGGCGCTGACCATACTCCGAAAAATAGTTCGGCATGTTCACCACCAGATGGCTAGTGAGATAAACAAAACCTTGAAAAATTTGTAAAATTATAAACAATGTCCACACCCATTCTCTCACAAAAATTATCCTCTTTCAGAAAATCATTGATTTAAGCAAATCGGTTCACCTATCACTGAGAACAATGCGTTTAAAGTTTGTCGTTAGCCTTGACGCTATCTTTATTTCCAAATGCACTTTCATTTAATTTGTTAATTCGGTAGAAAACAACGTTAAATGTTTGTTTAACCTCTTTGACTATATAATTGACGTATTTGACGATAAGTAATAAATGCTCTAAAACTGCAACTTTTGAGAAATTGGTATTTTCAACCTGGGAAACCAGAACACACCCTTAACATCAGCATTACTTGTAATTCTAATCGAGCTGGAATCTTGCACTCGGTCTCGTCCCAGCTGAAGAGACTCTCCTTTCGATTGATGACAATCTTCTCTTCCGCCACGAGATAATCAAACGGAAATATGAAACGCCAGTTGAAATTCCCTTCCCCGGTTAGAGATCGATAGTGGATATCCGTGGATTGGCAATCTTCTGGTCCTTTCAACCATCTGTTCAAACGTGTAAAATCCGTACTGTATACATTGCCTTCCGATTAACTTTACCTAGAAAATCATCGTACCCTTTCACGTAAATATCGCTCATCTTCTCGCCCGTGAAGAAAGCATCGTCTTCCAACACCACGTCGTCCGTATTCCAAATAATAATCCTGAGCTCGTAACTCTTTGGCTTCCTTGGCGAAATGTCGATCGATGGTCCTGGCGAAGGCATATCCATGGGGAACATGTCCACCCACAATTCTAGCTTTCCCTGTTCTATTCCTGGCTTCTCAGGATTGTAAAGGGGTCGTGTTTCGACGTGCTCGGGAACCAACGCGCAACCAATTCGCGGGAAAGCATGCCATTGATGAAGAACTGCCAACGCAAGGTGTTCCTCTATGCCTAAACGAGTGATACAATAATATCCATAAATAAATAACTTGCGAAAGATAAAAGTCGACATCTGAATGCAAATGAATGCCACTTGCCTTTGGAGTGAACGTAATATTCCATTTCTTCGTTCGATAGAGAAAACGTCTTCCTACCGATTGTCACTTGCCCATGAGAGTACACTGGACCATCCACCTTCCCTTCTTTGCAAAGTTTCGATAAAATTTGAGTTGGCTTCATGGCGTCTCTCCATTTGTTGTAACCAGATCTGAAATATAGTGGGAACTATCTTTCACGATGTTATGGACTATGGCATACGCATTAAATCGGACCACAAAAATTTGTATCATCCGTGACCTTCCATCTTTTCAAATAAAGGAAACTTACTCGTCGTATCTTTTGGCTGGACCGCAAGTTGCGCGATGCCTACTATAAAATCGATTTTCCAAATCAATCTTCGTCTCACCGATCATGTCGTCGGCGCCTACCAAATCCCAGTCCAGCACTTGAATAGTCAACAACGAATCCTGAGGAAAGGTCGCCTCTATTTCGAAACACCTTCCAAATAAAATCAAATTTTACTTCTCCAATCGCGTCTACGAGAGTGAATTATCGCGAATCCGTACACGTACTTGCCAAACACGGGATTGAGCTGCTTCGACACGTAATTCTCTTTGTCGCTGATCCTCTTGCCACCCAGTTGTAGAACAACATAAGGATCCGCCTTGCCGTTCAAATCGCACGGGTGGAGATCGTTTGCTTTGACGATGTAAACTCGCACCAGTACGTGAATCGGTTCGTTCGAAGGTACACCTTGGAAGAAACCGTATTGAGGGTCGAAGCCCATCACCGTGTGATCAATCAGGTCTTTCGGAAGTGGCCACTTGTAAACCTTTAGAGCGCCTTTGAAACTGCCGACGATTCGGGACTCGTCTTCGGGTTCGTCGCCAGTTTTCTTGCCACGATACAGCTCGAACGTGTGCAACCATTCCTTGAAGTGTTCGAACTCTGGCTGAGCCTCCAGCTCGTTCGGATAGATTTTCAAAAGAGCTGTTTTCGGGAACTTTCGACAACTGTGCCTGGGGCTGAGTTTCGAGACGAATCTTGCCGCATTTGCGGTCGATTTTAGGCCGAATAGTTTCTTCGCCGTCACGCCAGGGCTCTTCTCTCCCGAGACGTTCCCTTGACTTTGATTGTAACTCTCCTCCATGTACATCGAAGCGGTGCCGTTCGATTGAGTTTGAAAAATTGATTTCTCTTTACGGAGTTCCTTGTTTTCCTCTATCATCGCTTCGACGGAGGCAAAGTACTTCGTCCACCAGTCCTGGCAGCCGTCCTCGTCCTCGAAGACTGAGAAATCCCCTGGAAAAATAAGCCCACGTTTTTCCGTTTACTTCCCATCTCGTTCGAGAGAAATGGCAAGCTTACCAGTGCTCCCATCGTAAACCAGGCTTTGCTTCTTTCGTATGTTTTGCTCCGTTTTGTCTTTCTTCGTTGGCCATCCTGGGTCTAAACCCAAGGTAATGATCGTGTCTCCGCAATTGAATTCGAGATCTGCCAGGGACTCTGGTAGAGATGTCTGCTGGTACTTCGTTTTCGACGCGTCGAAGCCTACGTTAAAATGAAACAGAAGCTGATAAAGAATTTCATCTACTAGATGATTGCTTCTACATTTTGTTTTTTATAATCAATGTATCTTCGAATGCGTGACTGAAGGAAGATTAAAAGTCTTTTGTCTTTTCTTTGCAAATAAATAGTGAATTTACTTTAGAAAGACACGGAATAAATTTATACACCCAATAATTATTAGAATGAAATAAGAGTTATGCGTATACATCACCTGTATATTGTTG